AAAAAGAAACGGGCGTAAATCGAAACAATCAGTACTTTCCCACATCACCGAGTGAATTCAACTTGACCCTGAACTCAGAACAAAAGTACCCTTACCCCCTACGTCAAAAAAAGTGTTAGAAGTAAAATAAAATAAACAAGAACAAAATTAAAATAAATTAAAAAGAAAAACATTTCATAAAGATCTGATACTCTCTATCCGAATTGGAGCACTCGGGTTTCGGTTTCAAGTGTGCGCGCATGCGCAAGTCATAACGTGGGTACGACATGAAGTCCGCGTGAATGATTACGTAGCAAAGTCCCCATTTTTTGTGAAAATGTCCACCAGATATCACTGAAGGGAAGAAAAAAATTATTCGGGAAAAAAGCACTTTTTAAGAACGCCAGCTGAAAAAAGCACCTTTAAAAGCTTTTAAAAACGATATCCACAAAAAGCACCTTTAAGTACTTTTTACAAACGCTATGCACCCTGTATGCAGCTTTATTGTTTTTACACGGCTGAAACCGGTTTGCACTTGTTTACATTCGTGTATCAATGGGTTAAATTAGACGATATATACTATAAATTCAATAAATTAGACGATATATTGTATAAATATAGAATATTTATTACATCAGGTATTATATTTGTATATTATAATAATTAGACCAAATTATTAGACATTTTCATTCGATGGTTGGTCGATACGAATTCCGCATCCGGCTGGCACCAACCAAGTGCTGACGGGAAATATCCCTAGTGATAGACGGATCATGCGTTAGAGTCCCTTTGCCGTCAGGCTAACCGTGGGAGGTTCTCGTAATCTTCCTCTCCATGTGACTCAAATGCGGATTAGTTCCATCAAAAAGTCCACGAAGTCAAATTTCTCCCTATTCTTGGATCAGGAGTTCCCATGTCTTCTGGATTGGGTTCAAAATTACAAGGCTACAGAGTTGAATTTAAGTAGTCGTAAACCCAAAAATTAGGTCGACTGTTCACCGACAGTTATAAAAAAAGAAGAAAACGAAATATATAATGTAAAAACAACTTTTAAACAGTTTATTTTATTATTTGATATAGTTTAAATGGTAGTATTATTTTCCAATCTACTTTAATATATTATTTTTAAAAGGTGAAAACTTAAATCAACAATTGAAAAGAAATATGAATTTTACCAATTTCTGAAGTAATTAAAATAACCGTTCTTTTACAATATATTGCAAGAAGGAGAATGATAAAACTGAATTTTAAAATGATATGTAGAATAGTTAAAATATCAAATATTTTTTTTAACTAACATACACACTACTAAAATAATCACAATACAGTTTTTTTAATACTATATGTAAATAGGATACTACTTTACTAAGCACGATATAAACATACACACTACCAAAAATATGTTGAAGAGTTAAGTGCGTATTGAATACACAATTACAAAAAACATACTAATTTTAATAAAATACTTTTAAGAATAAATACTTAGACCGATTCTTAAAAGAACATGCTATACAAAGTTTAAATATCGAAATGTTATAAAACTGAATTCTAAAAAGAAGCGCTAATATATATATATTTTTTAATACTATGTCATCATATGATAAACAATAATGAAATCATATAATAAACATACACACTGCCATAAATTTTTGAAGAGTAAAGTGCGTATTGAATATACAATTACAAAAAAACATACTAATTTCAATAAAATACTATTAAGAATAAATACTTGAACTGATTATTAAATAACATGTTATATAAAGTTTAAAATTATGTGTAAAACTAAAATATATAATTTTTTTTAAAAAAGTAAGAATAAAAACTTTTAGCCTTTTTTTAAAAATATTTTTTACCTGTTTAAATTTAAGCTATTCTTATAAATATCATTGCTAAATTTCTTACAGTGCAAGGTTCGTGATTTTTTTTAAAATTTTTTAAAAAAAAATCAAAAAAATTAGATTTCTTTGATTTTTATTCAAACATACTGTAAGAACTTTAATTTACGATTAAAAAGATTATAAATGTTTAATCAAAATTAACTTAATATTAAAACTATATTGTAACAATATTTTAGAAGCTCTAACTAAAATAATTTTTCATTATAATACATGGCTTTGAATGCATAGCAACCATTTTGAAACAAATGCATGATTAAAATTTAAAGACTAGATGAAATAGAGAATTTAAAGAATACTTTAGGGGTCTGTCTGGGTTTTTCTGAGAGGTACCTATTTTGTGAAAATTAAAAATTATAATAAAAAATCAACACAAATATAGTAAAAATATGGAATTATCGTTTCTTACGAGACACAAAAATAAAATTTTAAGAAAAAGTATTTTCTGTGTTTTTGTGTATCGTTTTTCCTCAAGTTGAATTTGTAAAGGTACCGTTAAACGATAGTAAATATGGCTTGGGCAGACCCCTGCACTTTAACGATTAAAACAAAGTTTCAGTTAGCAAACCATAATTTTAATTTAAAATTGTGATTTCATTTTTTTTTCTTCTCTTGATTTTTAAAATCACAAAATAAATGTAGCATACTGTGTTCATAAATGTAGTCATTCATCAAAAAATAATAAATATTTAATCTATATATTTTTATATTAGAATATTCATTTTTAATTCTATATCAAAATAGATAAGTTAAGCTAAAAAAAAAAAATTAGAAAATCTATGTACTTATGGGAATTTTTTTTTCACAAAATTTCTTTATAGAGAATCAGATAATGTCAGAGATACTGTAAACATATTATGAGAAAAAAATACCAGTTAATAACCCTACTGCTTCAAATAGAGTTTGAAAGGGAAGAATGACACTATATTAGGAAAAAAACATCTGAAGTCATCAGCATTTTTTTTTCTTTTTTTGGCACATTAGGGTGATTTCTTTTTAATATAACCTCAAGCTTCAGAAATATACATTTTCCACCAATAAAATATTATGTCGATTTTAATTCACGCTTTTTCATTCAGAAGGTAGAATTTTAATTAACATTATTTGTATTATTTTTTGAAAAAAATTCATGTTTATTAATTACTTTCTACAGCTATGCAGCATTAAATGTTTACTTTAATCTGTACTTTCAGTCTCAAGAATCAAAACATTTTTAAAAATGCAATTTCAAATGTGTTGGAATTTAACACACACAAAGAAAGAAAGTAATTTCGTTAACTAATATTAATTAATGCAGCAATTTATTCAAATTAAATTTTAATACTAAGAAACAAAAATAATAAAAGTATCAAAAATTTATAACACTGTTTTTTAACTTCTGAAATCAATATATATATAGATAAAAAAAATTTGTTGATTTAAATCAATGATATTTTTTAAAAAATTACTTGATTTAAATCAAGCTGATTTAAATCAATTAAACCCTGTTACAGTTTCCTGGAAAAAAGATAAATATTATCAGTAAAACATGTTTTGAACATTTGTAGGGGAGAGTAATTTTGAATGATTGCAAAATAAAGATACCATTCAGATTAAAGTACACGTCATTTTTTTTAATCTCATAACAGGGTGGATAATACTGAGAAATTTATTTTTCAATCGAATAAAAAGCGTAATACAAATAATACCATCCGATATAAGCTTTATTTTGCAATTAGTTATATTGTGCGCCGGGCATCGAAGTTGCAACGAACGGCTTACGTATCTGTGTACGAAAGGCGGTTTGATCTTCGATCCCTAATTAATCCAATCGGCCCAATTCATTAAGGGTGGAAAAGGGATGTTCTCTCTTAGCCGATAAGATTAACCAGAAACTGATAGGATTAACGAGTGGGAGAAAAATTAGTTTTTGGTTCATTCAATTCTTTAAGAATAACTGAAAAAAAAATCATCAAACGAATTGCAATTTTCTTTTAAAAATTTCTTTATTTCTAGCCGTAATCGAGAGTTTATTAAAATCAGAAAGTAAAATAAAAACTACGTTGTTTTCATCTGTTAGTTTTTTTTCCATATGGTCATTTGACCATTGGCCTCAAGCAGCAGCATGATACTGAATGCAGTTGATCTTTATTTTGATGGGAGTAATTTTTAAAAACATGTTATATGTAAT